ATTTCAAAGGACAAGGTGGGTGAACCACTTAAAGTTTGGAGTTCAAGACCAGCCTGGCAAACATGGTGAAACCTCATCTGTACTAAAAATACAAAAATCAGCTAGGTGTGGTGGGGGGCAAGTATGGTCACAGCTACTCAGGAGGCAGAGGCAGGAGAATCACTGGAGTCCGGGAAGTGGAGAGTGCAGTAAGCCAAGATGGTTCCACTGCACTCCAGCCTAGGTGACAAAAGGAGACTCCATCTCAAAAACAACAAGAAACAATACATGATGCAATGAAGAAACATCAGGTTGGCCATTGCATGGATGGAGTGGAGAGCCACGGCTGAGCCTTGCTTTATGGAAACATATTAGCAAGGTAAAGAGGAAATGTTTTCATCCTAGTTTCAAGGTGACTATGCAGCTAAGCAAGCTGACTTAGATCAAGACTGAAGCTCAGAGCAGTGAAACCTGAGGAACAATCTCTCCAAATAAATAGGCAAGGCTCCCAGGTTCCTTAAAAATAAATAGAAATTCCAGGGATATTGTTCAGGGAAGATGACCTAATGACATGAGAGATACTGAATCAAAGCTAGGAGACCTGACAGACACCTCCTGTACACGTCCTGCATACAGGTGACCGTGAGCTTGTCACAGTGGTCTGGGGTCTGGTAACTTGATTCTTGGGCCTCGGAGACAAATGCATGGCATGAGCTGAGGATGAGATAAAAATTCTCTGGTATCTGTGTTTAGTATCCCATGATAGGTTTTTATTCAAACCGATTTGTGTGTATAGAGCCTGTCTTCAGAGTTGATCTTCCTCAGTCTAGACAGAGATACCAAAAACAAGGAATGTAGAGGTCACCTGAAAGAATGGTTAGAGCATCCTCCACCACATCATGAGATGATTCACTCTCTACAACCAGCGCAGAGTCGACATTCTCTTCCCCAAATGTGATTTCATTGGTGTCTCTGTGAGGCTGGCTGGAGTCAGTAGGGCCATAGCTATTTGAACGAGTGATTACACATTTCTCCAGTGAGTCCTCAGGGACTTTCTTGACTTCAATCTTCTGCACCTCCCTGATGATCCAGATGGGATAGAGATGACAGAAGATTAAACAAAGAGGGACCGGACCCCAGGGAGTCCTAGTTGGTTTTCACAGGAGGAATGAAAGAGTGGTCCCAGAAAGCAAATGGGAGGTTCCCTTTGAGAAGAAACAGGCAATCCCCCTCTCTGCAACAGAGCATGGCTGCCATGGGAACCGGAGAGAAAGACAGCAGCTGGTATTCATCACACTGGGCAGAAAGGAGCCGAGAAGAAAAGAGACTCAGTTATCCCTGTAAAATTCAGACACGGCACTCAGCACATACAAAGAACCACAACAGCTGCCACACTCTGTCTAAGTTGGGTTGAACTGAACATATCGTGGCCAAGGGAATGCAGGCTTTTGGCCCATGGGAGACGCCAGAGAGGGTGTGCTTCTAGACCTTTTCCATACTTTATCACCCATTACTTACTCCTGATTATTCAGTGTTACCTGGGGGCATATGATTCCTCTATTTTCTCAGCCTCCACAACATGAACATCTTCATCCTCATCTTTGTCGTTTTCTGCAAGTACAGATGTGTTCGTTCAGATATTTCCCATTTCACACTCTGCAAGGCCAGTCAGCCCAATGTGCGCGGGGACATGAATATCTGTGTATGGGTCCCCGTTCTACTGAAAGCTCTCATGCTTTCTCTTTAACAAAATGCCCCAGTATGGTTTCCTGTTCCACCAGGCAGTGCATTTCTGATCAGAAGGCTCACCATCAAGATGAGGCCAAATGTTGAAAACACTTCTGCTCTCCACATCACTGGAGGCTTTTGCAGTCTCTCTCTGGACTTTGGCAGCTGTCTCCGCCATCCTGACACAGATCTGATTCCCAGAGACAGGCTTGGCATCCTGTCACAGTTCACATTTACAACCTATTTCTTTCTCTTAGGAGAGAATAAAAAAACTTGTCCCACGATCCTCTGCACATCAGATGAGTTCACAGGCCCTCCAAGTGGCTTCTGCTATGTTATTCAGGGACATTCTCTCCACGGGGCGTGCTCCAGTCTGAACCACTTCCTACCACCAAATGCCCACATATCAAGTGCTTTCTCCAACACCACACAGAGAGGGGATGTATCTCATTGTGATAAGCGGTCATGAGTATTTGCACATTTGAATGCTTCAGACACTGCAAGATGTCTGCCTTTGCAGATGGAGAGAGAGAAATTTACCTGCCTTTGCAGATGAAGACAGAGAAAGTCAGGAAGGAGAAATCAATTACTCACTGACAGTTCCTAGGAACACTGCTGAAGATACAGCCTGGGAACCTTCATTCTTACTCCAGAGCGCTTTCCATTCCAACAACAGCCTCCTGTCACAGCTTCCTTCATGTCCTTTACAACTGGAGAGATGCTGCCTCTTGCTCCAAAGACCACCATCCATCAAGGAAGGAGGGACATTTACAATACTGTGACCTTCAACACCATGGGTTTCCCATCTGTTTTCTCGTTCAGAAAGTCCTAGTCACGTCATGGCCACATATGTTTAGTGGAAGAAAACACCACTGATAAAACTGTCATCGTGGAAGTATGGAGGTCTGGAGTCTCTCATAAGGCCATAAAGGAAATATGCACAGACTAATAAAGTTTCTCTTATGCTAGACACAGTAGAATGAAGAACTAACGGACAGTGTTTACTCTATGCCAACAACTGTCTCCAAGAAGCAACTTGGATGGAGCTCAGGAGACTGGCCCAGGGTCCCTCCTCTATGCACTGCTGCCTCCACAAACTCGTGCGTGCTGTCGTTCTTCCTCTTAACCAACAAGAGCCTCTGCACAGAAAGCAGGACGTCCCTCTGACCAGAGTAATCACTGCTCTAGATGATGCCACTTACAGATACCACAGGTTATGTAAGGAGCAGAGTCCTCTTTAAGCTCCCAATAGCGGGTATAGTGTGCTACCATCGCACTTCCCCCAGAACAGAGCTTTCCCTACTGAGCCTCATGTCTGCAGGATCTTAGGTGGCACAGAGGGAATTCTTGTAAACATGATTTAGCCTCTTGCTGAGAAACACAGGTGCTTCTGCA